GTGTGATTGACAGGAATTGGATAATCAGGGGCAAGGACGGGATGGACTGGTGGCAGGTATCTAGAGAACTAAGAAAATGGAAAAATAATACAAGTACTGACTCCAAGGAAAATAGAAATGGAAAGGAATCGTAACTCAGGTTTGCACTGTGTGTAGCCAGCCTCCCTAAGGTGAACACTGGTTTTCATGGGGATGGTGTGGGGAAGGCAGATGGATAAGAGCTAAATTCTGAAGTTCTATAATGGGAAATTAAAAGATAATGCTTAAAAAATTAAAAAACTAATAAGCAATAGTGTTTAAGAGAAGCCAGATACCAATATGTATATGTGTGTATTTATGCACATATATGCACACATCTGTATCTATCTATAAATCTCTCTCTCTCTCTCTCTCTCTCAGTATATATTTCTTATCTAACCTAATTTATATAAAGTTCAAGGACTGGCAAAATAATGGTGCTAGAAGGCAGAATAGTGTTCAGCTTAAGCTTAGGCAAGTGTATCTAATGGGATGCAACATAAGAATGTTCTGGGACGATGTAAAAATCAGTATGTGGATACAGGTGCAATCACACGGGTGTCTGTGAAGATAAACAGTCATCAAGCACTCAGATTTACATACCTTGTATAGTATGCACTTTATACCAATTAAAAAAGGAATAGAAAAAAAAGAAGCAGGACAATGTTACTTATTGATATAGAGGGGACACAAAATAAATAGCTAATAGGTGCTTGCTTAGCATATTTGAGGTTCTGGGTTCCATCCCCAGCAGCACAAAATAAACAAGCAGCTAAAAATGTTGAAAGTGTTTGCCCCTGGAAAAGAAGAAAGATGAGCTGAGCAAAGACTAATTTTTTTCTGTAGTGAGTCCTATAGAATTATTTTGATCTTATTAAATCATATGCATGTATAACTTTGATTTTTTTTAAATGCCAAAAAACATCAAAGGACTTGGCTGGCAGATGATGTACAGCTGCCTGCAAGGTTGAATAAAATGGACCCAGGACCTGAAGGCCCTGTTCCTGACTCTTCTCTCCTAAGTTGTGGAGTAGGGAAGGGCTGATGCCACCCAGGTGCCCAATCTGGTGCCCGGGACCTACAGGCCATCCAATGGAGAGTATTCACATTGCCCAAGGGCCTCTGTTGCTTTGAAGATGAGCAAGCAACCTTCCCAGCCTGCCCTGGGTGACCGGACCCTGAGAACAGGTGACAATCTACAGTTCGGTCTCAGACTCAACAGAATCAACAATGAACTGGCCTGGCCCCCACCTCCTCACCTCGCAGGTTCCGGATAAAGTCCTCCAGCATCATCTTCCGGTCAGGCTTAATGTTGGGGCTGTACATGTCGGTGTTGAGGAGGATGATGGCGAAGGCCAGGATGAAGATGGTGTCGGGGTTGTGGAACTGCTGCACCACCTCAGGATTGCACATGCAGTAGCGCTGGCTGTGGTGGGGGAGACGCAGGGTGGCACCGTGAGCTTCCCAAGCTCCAGCAGTGGGGACTGATGACCCAGGGGGGATGACCCAGCTCCTCGAGGGCTTTGGGCCCAGGGAGATGATGGTCTGCCCCATATGGCAGTCCTCTTCCCCCCTGAGAGGACAGGCTAGCAGCACTGCTCCTCAGGTGCCCCCCAGGACCAGCCTCACACAGATGCTCAACACCAATGTGCTGGCTGGTGGGGATGAGTGACAGGCAGTCCATCTGGAGGGCCCCATGTTGCTTCCAGCTTAGAGGGCTCAAGGGGTTCGGCCCCCTTTGTTTCCTTTTCTCCTTTCCCTCCAGCCCACCCGCATGCCTGCCTCAGAAGAGTGATCCCCAGCACCTCTGGTCTCTGGAGTCCCAGCAGCTCTGCTTCCCCACCCACACTCCCAGGCTCTAGACACATGCGAAGGGGGGAGGGTCCTACCTGAAGGCCTCTATGAGCCGCTCCACCTTCTGGGCCTCCCCCTGCACACGGATGTGAGCCTGGAACTTCCGCAGGGCCTCATCCAGCTCCATGCTGGAGAAGTCCATCTCATCCACCACGCAGCTGAGGACAGGTGCAAGGAGGGGTGGTGAGGACAGGCGGGGACCTTCTGCTATACTTGAGCTGTGGGATGTACAGCCAGGGCCCTCTGAAGTGGGCAGGAAGGACGGACATAGGGTCTCCCAAGCTCACTTCCCCTCAGGAGTCTTCCAGGAATAACCCAAGAGCACAGCGTTTTCGTACCTCCTCTCTACCAACACAACAGCCCCGTCAGGCAGGCCACAGGCTGTAACCTCCATTTCACAAGCCAGAAACCTGAGGCGCAGAGCAGTCAGCTGGTGCCCAAGGCCGCAGAGGCAGGGGGAGGCTGAAGTCAGACCCTCCTACTCCAAGTCCCAAGAGCCCAGAGTGAAAGCAAGCTTAAAAATGGAGTAATATGGGCTGGGGATGTGGCTCAAGGGTAGCGCGCTTGCCTGGCATGCGTGCGGCCCGGGTTCGATCCTCAGCACCACATACAAACAAAGATGTTGTGTCTGCCGAGAACTAAAAAATAAATATTAAAAATTCTCTCTCTCTCTCTCTCTCTCTCTCTCTCTCTCTCTCTCTCTCTCTCTCTCTCTCTCTCTCTCTCTCTCTCTTTCCTCTCTCACTCTCTCTTTAAAAAAAAAAAAAATGGAGGAACAGCTGCGGCCTGGAGTCCCAACGAGGCAGGAGGCTAAGGCAGGAAGGAGCACTTGAGTTCAGCAGTTTGAGACCAGCCTGGGAGATAGAGTAAATAAATAGAAGGTATTTTTCTGATCTTTCAAAGACCTGTTGGGGAACCCCAGTTCTCAGGGGAGTCTTGTTGGGTAGGCTGGGATCCCTGAGGATGGGGCACTGTGAGGCACAGAGCCAGGTTCTGGTCCTGGTCCTTGGCTGAGCTTTTTGTGACTTGAGTTAATGGACTCCCCCCTTTTAAGCCTCAGTGTGTTCTTCCGAAGAGCAAGGAGGTCAGAATCCCTGCTCCCCCAGGGACTTTCCACCTGAAATGCCACTCGAAACCTGAAGGGTTCCTCGAATGTCCCAGTGCAGTGAGTAGTGGGAAGAGGAGGAGCTGGGGACATCAACCAATCCCCCTGCTTCATAGTGGTCTCATTTTTCTGGGCTGGATCACTCCCAGGGGCCTCCTCAGCCCCTACACCCTGCCTTGTCCTCCTTGGGGGTGGTCCCATGGGCCTTGCTCACCGAGGCCCGGCAAAGCTGCAGACCTTCCCTGAGCATCTAAGCATCGTTCCTCCCCGCAAGCTGATCACAGAGCGCCAGGCGGTCGCAGCTGCCGACAGACCCAGAGCTGTCTTTCCCTCTCTCTCTCCTCCATTTCTCTCCTCACTGCTGGCTCCTTACAGCCTTGACCCCCACTTCCCAGTGCTACCATGTGGCTGGGCAGGACTCCAGCCCCCACACCCTTGGCCAACTCCAAGGCAGTATCTAAACCCCAGGCACTAATCACCTCTCACAGTTCCTTGGCCCTCCAAGGTGTGCCCATGGCTACAAGCACTTGATTCAGTGCACAGCACACCCACCAATGGCTCAGAAAACATCTGCAGAGTGGCCACGCGAGGGGTGGGCTCTGAGCAGGACCCACCTTCTCCATGTTCCTAGAAGACCAACAGACCCCAACTCTGGTGTCAACGGTCAGGAGAAAGCAAGGGGAGTTGCCACAGGGCATCTTGGTGGACTTGGAGTCTGCCTCCCCCACTTTTTTCAGGGGCAGGGGTTAAAAAGGAGAGAGTGTCACCAATGAGTTCTAAAGAGGCAGGGTAGGGCTGAGAAGTAGTTAGAGGCTTCTCTCCTTCCTGACCAAGGGCAAGGCCATGGCCGGGATCAGCTAGCTGCAAGCTCCCCTTGCTTGGCAGAGGCCTGCTCTTCTCAGGCTTGTCTGCCTGGTTAGGAATCGGGGAGAGATGGGCTGGGAGCTGGAGGCAAGAACTTTGCCTGAGCATAAGAACCAAAAATGTCAGTATGTGGGCACTGAGGGATGACTGGGCAGGTCTAGCCAGGTGAGAGGACGTTCCAATTTCCCGGTGGCTCCCATTACCTCACCCTGCACCCTCCCCAGCTGTAATACGGCTCTGAGGACAGCACCATTGGGCCCACATCTGTGAGTCCCCACAGCCCATCCCAGCAGGGGATGGTTGAGCACCACTGGGCCACAGAGCAATGCTTTTCTGGAAGAGACCCAGTGATGGAGACCAGATCCAAGGAGAAGAGAGGAAGCAGAGAACAAGAAGATAATGAGACAGAGAGGGAAAGAGAAAGGGAAAGCTAGAGAGTGAAAGAGAGAAGCAAGGAAGAAAAGGAGGGAGAAAGATCAACTTAAAAAGGGGGAGACAGCTGGGGGAGAGGGACAGAGTGAGAAAGCGAAAGACAGAGAGAGAGAGAGAGAGAGAGAGAGAGAGAGAGAGAGAGAGGATGTAGATGAGGAGGACTGAGGAGGGTGGGCCAGGGCATGAAGCGGAAGACAGCCACATTGTGTCCTCTCACCCCAGGAGCCCCGACACCTAGGAGGCCAAGCGGGAGGACAGCGGGGCCCAGCCTGGTCAATGCAGACCAACAAGCCTGGCTCCTTGGAGGGTTCCCAGGATGACCCTTGGCCCCTGTGGTCTGGCACCCAGCTGCTCCCCACGACTGGCTCCCATTTGTCCATCTACCCTCCCAGCCTCTCCCCTGCCCTTTCCCTGTGGGCTCCTGAACTGAGATCTTGGTTTCTCTTCCCTCCTCCAGATCCCACCCTCCACCCCGCCTCTCTCCATGTTCCTTCTGCCCCAGAGCTCTGGACCAGTCCTTCCCCTGCAAAAATAATGACAGAGGTGTGTGCTGGAGGCCAGGGCACCATTAGGGGAGGTGGCGGAAGGAGGTGGCAGCTGGAGAGGGTGGGATCTGCTCAGTCAAGCACGATGGCCTAGTTTCCCGTCCTCCACTCAGGTGACATGCAGCCGGTTTGCACGCTCACCCGCTTGGGGCTGTGGTTAAAAGCTCCAGTAATGAGCCAAGAGCCCTGGACCAAAGGCTGGGCTGGGAGATCAGCCAGGTGGAAACACCCACCACAGAACAGGGAGTGCTGGATTAATCCTTCCTGGGCCTGCAGGTTGGGGGGACCTCAGGGGAGGACATCTGGGCTTCGGAGCTGGAGCAGCCTCTAATTCAGCACCTTCCAGTGCAAGGAGGTGAGAGGTCACGTGGGAGGGATGAAAGGAAATATGGATGCCCGCAACCCCCCATTCCTGCTTTCCTCTCTGCAACACCACCCTGGGGCGTTTTATGGTCCTGAATTTCTCGGACCCTGGGGGCAAAAACCCAACTGCAAAACTGCCAAGTAGGGGAGGGGAAGGGCTGAGTAGTCTCTGTACTCCTCCCCAAGGCAAGCTGCTTCCTCTGGATGCAGAACCCACTCCCCAATTCTGACATTCCCCTAGCCAGAGCCCAGAGAAGGGCAAGCCCACAGCCGGTCTCTAAAGGTGCTAAATGCTCCCCATGGTGCACTCTGTGTCCTCTTGGGGAAGGTGGCTGGGCAGGGACTGTGTGCCCCCCCCTCCCCCCCCCAGCGTGCTGCTCCTGTGGACCTTCACCTCAGGGTCTTGCTGCCTTGGAAGCATCATCAATCCTTGTCCCTCACAGCATGGTTCTTTTGGCTTCTCTCCTGTACCTTTCAGCCAGCACCTTGGCCTCTTCTTCCTCTCTCCTCTTTGTTTCTCTTTCCATGGCTTCTATTTTGCAGCATCTAGCCCTTTAAACTCCACCCCCCTCCACTTTTCTTTCCTACCCTGGAGTCCCTGTGGGGAGCAGACTGGTGACAGTTTATCAAATCCTTCCTGCTTCTTTGACCCAGGACAGTCACCTCTCCTTGTCGATCACCTTTAAGGCAAATAACATCATACATTCCAGGTGTCTTTCCTGGTTGGATTCTCTTTCCATTTTACAGAAAGGAAAATTGAGACTACATAGGGACTTGTCCCACACTCCCACTACTAGAAAGCAGGCTTTCAGATCCCTCTCGGGTGCACCCCTGTGTGTCCACTGGGGCAGCATGTGGTCCAAATGCCAGTGGGAGGCTCTTGTTTAATGAGTGTTGTTCTTAGTGCTTCACTAATCACACAATGACTTAATCTCCTCTAGCCTGTGCAGTATTAGCCATTTTCAGGAAACTGATGCTCACAGGAGAGTCGGCCCTGCAGGGGGACTGTACACATCACATTCCTTGTGGGCATCTCCTGGTCTAAGCAGGGCTGCCTCTCCCACTTCCCACTGCTCTCTGCAGCTCAGTGGCTGGTGCTAATGTGTCTCTCCCTGGGGGTTGCCATCTTCCCCAGATGCCTGGTGGGGGTCTGGGAGGAATTCAGGAGGTATGTTCCAACACAGTGTGGAGGCTGATTATTGGTGTGTGAGGAGGCATTTGTCCATCGGTAGCCAGCAGGAAGGCTGTGTGGGCACCTGCAGTTCAGAGCTGGCTTGGGCACACAGCCCACGGCAGGGGCTCCCACCTCCCTTCTTCTGGAACTTTTCCTGACCCTGGGAGTGGCTGACTGGCTGGCTCTCTTTCAATGAACACGCATTGAGTGACTCCTGAGTGCAAGGGTGGGCAAAAAATACAAACACAGTCTCCGTCCTGGGAGACAGACAGACATTAAATGAAGAGTTGAAAATAATTCTTTATATGTGTGATGAGTTCTATTCAGAGAAAGGGCATGGTTCCATGAAAGGACGAAGCAGAGATTATTTTATATTGCTGTGTCCTTAAAGGCCTCTTGGGGGACATGACATTTCAGCTGAGATCTTAAAGATACGTAGGGTTGAACAGGAAGAGGAAGTATATGCCAAGGCCCCGTGGTAGGAAAGAACTTTCAAGAACCTAGAAAGGGTCAATGAGAGTGTAGTGCAGAGTAACAGGGAGAATGGAGGACAGTGAGACTATGGAGGTGGGCATTTCTCTCATGGCCTGCAGAGAGAGATCTCAGAGTTTATCCTAAATGTGGTGGGATACAGTGGCAGGGAATGATCAGAGCAGTGATGTGATCCATTTTTTTTTTTTTTTAAGATTTCTCTGGTTGTTGGGCAGAGAATGAATGAAAGGGATGAAGCAGAGAACAAGAATGAGCTGGACCCTGAGTCAGGACGCTACAGCAGAGATCCAGGCTAGAGGTGATGAGGCTTAGGTTGAGACACAAGCAGCAGAGACAAACTGAGTGCTTGATCCAAGCAACCTCTTAGGTGATAGGAATGTGGGAGGGTGGAAAAGGAGGAGACAATGGATCTCAGAGCTCGGGCTTCACTGGGAATCCGGAGATGCTACTCCCAAAGATGAGTACATGGGGTGGACACAGTTAGTGGAGAAGACATCAAAACTTGTCTTGGCCACGTTCAGTTTGAGATGCTGTTGCATATGGTTTGATTTCTCCCTTCTATAAATTGCTCTCATGAACACCCCAATGCGTGCGTGTTTTTATTTTACAAACTAAAACCTTACCCTGGCCCTTCATTGCTCACTACTCTTCTTTGCAGTCATGCTTCCGGAAGACGACCCTTCTTGTGCTCTCTCTGCTTCCTCATTTTCACTCATTTTTCAGTCCACTCCACTCAAACATCTATCCACAGCACCCCTTTAGAATTTCTCTTGACAGGGTCACCACTGGCCACCATGTTGCCAGATCCAGTGGACTCTTTGTCCTCATCCAACCAGCTGTTGGCAACATCATCCCTCCGATGGTTGCCCTCTTCTTCTCTGGAGGTGCCTCTCCTCCTCTCTCTGACCTCTGACTTGGGACAGTCACCAGGCCCCTTTCTAGATGGCCTCATCTATTCCAACAACTGTAACTGCTACCCACTAACCACTCTTTCCTGTCCCTTGTAATGACTTTACTAACTAGTTACTTTGCTTCTTGGCTGATCTCTATGAAAGACCAGTACCGTGCTACCTAGACAGGAGCTCTTGCGTCACCACCGACTCTATGCATTTGACTGGCACTTGATGGGCACTTCTGAGATCTGGCTGGCTGAGGGCACCTGGGGTGCCGTGGCTGGAATATCATCACTGGACAATGCTCATGAGAGGATAGGATGCACTGGTATTTCTTGTGGGCAAGTCAGGCTGTACATCTTTTGTTTTACCTGATATTTAACAGTTTGACTTGCTTGAGTAAATATTTGACAATGTCTAGTTTTATAAATTCTGCAGATGAAATGTCCCCAAGCCCAGCCATTCCCCTCCCTCTTAAAGTGAAAACATATACAGCATATTCGGTATAACTGGTACCAATGCAGTGGTATGAAGCACCAACATATCCATATGCAAAGACGGAGTGTCCCCAGTTCTCACTAGCTCTGGAGGTCGTTCACAGTGACACGACCCCTCGGCTCTCCTCCCACTCCTGTCACAGGTTCTCGGTTCTGCCTCCTCCCCTGCTCCTGGTGGCTACTGCTGCAGCTTAGGGCCTCATCCTCTCCTACTATTACTGCAATAGCCTCCCTTCCTCCAACTATCTTCCAGAATAGTCCTTCTAGGACACTCAGTCTGTCACTTACTACCCTGCTTACATTTCTTCAAGGTCTTCTCACATTCCTAGTATGAAAGCCTAGTTCCTCAGCAAAAAAAGGTAGCCTGTGTCACTAACAACTCAGCTTCTTCCACCTCTTCCACCTCTTCCCCCCCCCCGGTGGCCCCTCTTTCAGGCCTCTGCACTTTGCACACATTATTCTTTATTCCTGACATCCATTGTACCCTGGATCTGCTTCTGGTCTGCCATGGCATTTCCCTCCTTGGGTCAGGACATGCTTACCTGTCCTCCCTCCTTACATCTGAGCTCTTTCAGGATAGGGCAGCTCTTCTCATCTCTGTATCCCTAGTATATGTATGAGCTCAATACATGTTCTATATGATGAACGAATGAGAGATCAATGAACAGGACCTGTGCATGTGGTCAACTGGAGAAGAACTCCCAGTGGCCTGCACATCTGGAAGGACCACCCAGCGGCACTGGATTGCTTAGCCTGCTTTGTCAAGATCATCCAGAGCTGACCCCAGACCTGTACACAACTGCAGGGAAATGACCCTGAGGGTTCCAGAGGTGGTGTGGGGTACACATGCTTTCCTCTTCCTTCAGCCACACATGCAAGTGAGTCAGTGATGAGAACCAACCAGGGAAAACTGGACTGCTTCCAAGGCAGCCTGTCTGGACCTGTCTTGGGAGGTGCTGCTGATCTGATCGGTGAGAGAATCACGAGTTGTGCAGGTTTTGCTTGGGCCTCCCTCTTTCCCGTAGGTTTCCGCAGAGGCTGCAGCAAATACCTGACAAGGGCTCGGGATGCAGAAGCACAGATGTTCCTGCATCTGTATAAACAGGTACAATCTTGCATCAAATTGCTTGTTAACACTGATCAGTGTGTGGAATCAGTTTGTGTGGAGGGGAAATGAAGCGTCCTATGCCACTGTGATCAAAATGAATTTCGTCATCTCATTTTTTTTTTCTTTAAATGTGAGCAAGACAGTGTCTGGCAGACAAAAGAACTGGTTAGGAGCTGAAAATAGGTGATAGCAACAGCAGGGTGTTTTAATTGGCCGGAAGAGATGGTAAGGATCTGGAAGGTGAGGCCCCAGCTGAGGCCTGGGGAGAAGTATGTAGCTGTGCCCTAGGGGGAGTCTGCCACGAGACGTAGAAACCTGGTTGGATTCTGCGATTCTTGGCTTATGTGATTTAATTAAAAATCTCTCGGTCCACCGGAGGGTTATTTTTGTTAGTCAGAACTCATAACATGTTCCACAAAGGTCAAGGCCTTTGGGGAAAATGTGATGGGGCTGAGAACAGGGAGAAGCTGACTCAGGGTGTTCCTGGTGACAATACAGGGACAGAGAAAGTCTCCTTTGAGGGGGCCTCAGAAGGGATGACAGCCAGTCACACCTGAAGCACTCAGGAATCCAAAGAACTAAGTTTCAACTACCCAGACAAATCAGGAGTCAAGGTGGATGCCTGAGACACTTTTCCTCAGGGACTCAGGAGCACTGTGGGTCAGTGGTTCTCAAACTTCAGCATGCACGAGATCACTTGGTGGGCTTATTCACCCCAGACTGCCGGGTCCTACCTCCAAAAGTTTCTGATTCAGTAGAACCAGAGACTGAGAATTTGCATCACCAATAAGTTTCCAGGTAAGGCTGATGTTGCTGGTCTGGGGACCACACTTTGAGTAGCAAGACACCATGCCAGTAACAGTGGGTGGCATGGGAAGAAGTCAAAGCTTTGGGGTCGGTTACCTTGGGTTTCAGTTTGGTTTCCTCCTCTAGCTACTCAGTCCAAGTCAATGGACCTCTCTGTGCCTCAATTCGTAACCTAGAGAACAGAGATCATGCCTATCACATCTACTGGGCAGGGATGCTATGAATTTTAAGATGATAATGTGCGTAAAGTTCCTAGATACAACAGGGCTTTATATACTATTGCTTTCATTATGTACCTGGAGACCACGTCTGGTGAGTGACAGGCCAGCTGAGTGAGTGGATTCAAAGTCCCCTCTAGCTTAGATATTGAGAATATCCTTCCTTGCCAGGCATGGTGGCACATGACTATAATCCTAGTGGTCTGGGAGGCTGAGGCAGGAGGATGGCGAGTTCAAAGCCAGCTTTAGCAACAGTGTGGCGCTAAGCAACTCAGTGAGACCTTGTCTCTAAATTAACTACAAAAAAGGGTGGGGATGTGGCTCAGTGGTTAAGTGCCCCTGGGCTCAATCCTGAGTACCAAAAAAAATAATAAATAAAAATAAATAAATAAATAAAATACCCTTTCTTAACCCCAGGACTACAAAAACAAAAAACAAAACAAGAAAAACACCTTTTCCTTCACTGCCAATTAGCTGTGCCTGAAATTGCATCATTAGACAATCATCTGATGGCCCTTTAAAATATACGTATAGCAGAGAGAGGAAGCTGAATCTAGCTCAGACCTCCTGAGACTTATGAATTGGTTTCTCAGCTCTGCCTTCTCCCCAGATGACACGATCAGAGCACAGCAAATAAGGCAGAGTCAAAGGAGGCGAGAGGACCTGATTCCACTCCATTTCTCTGCCACTAGAGAAATGGAGTGGAATCCTCTCTCTGGCCCCCCATTTCTACCTAGGTAAATAAGAGGTCTGAACTAGCTGATCATTCCAGGGGTCTTTTGGTGCTGTGCTTGCAAGTGGACTCACCAGGACTCTAACTGTATGCAGAACATGTCTTTAGATGCTATAGGGTTAAGGGCTTATTTGGCCTGGCTTTAGATCTCAGCCATTGATGAGCTCTGTGACTGTAGGCAAACTACCTAACCTCTCTGTTCCTTGGTTCCTTCATTTAGGAGAAATGAACAGCACTCACAAAAACTACTGCAGAGACAGAATGAGGCTTCACCATGTGAGATCTTGGAACAGCACCTGCTGCGCACGATCGATGCCTGATACATGTGAGCTGTCAGTATTATGCTTCCCAGCCTGCTCCCTCACCAACGCCCTGCTGCAAGACCTCAGGAAAAGATAACTGCCTGAAAGCCCCTCCTAGAAGTTCCACATGAAGAGTGGTCAGGCCAGACGCAGTGGCGCATGTCTGTAATTCCATCAAGGCTGAGGCAGGAGGATTATGAGTTCAAAGTCAGCCTTAGCAACTTAGTGAGGCCTTGAGCAACTCAGGGGGACCCTGTCTCTAAATAAAATACAAAAGGGGCTGGGGATGTGGCTCAGTGGTTAAGCACCCCTGAGTTCAATCCCTGGAACAACAACAACAACAACCAAGTGGTCAGCTGGAGCCACAACTGAACGTTACACAGAGATTGAGTGAGACCCCTCTAGAGCGAGAGCCTGAGTAATCAGGAAGGGGTTGAGTGGTAGGGATGTCCGTTATGCAGGATGTCCAGTTCACATGGGGAAGTGACCACACTGACATGGTATTGTCAACCCTGGATTTGTTTGTCCCCCTCAACTAGGGTCTCCAAGATGCCCACATATAGAAGCCAGGGAGTCCTCAACTCCCATGACGATTTTTACTGTCCAGGAGAGTCCTTGTCTATCTATGGCACGGTAGGGGATGGGAGGGGGGCTTGGAGAGGTAAAGGGTCAAGGCCATAAGCCAAAGACACTCCCTTGCGTGTCTGTCTTCCTTCCTTTCTGCTTTGCTGCTGGGGGCTCAAATCCAGGGCTTCATATATGCTAGGTAAGCACTCTACCACAGAGTGGCACCTCAGTTCCTCAAAGACACCACTTTTCACAGAGACACACTGCCTTCCATTCCTTTAGGCAGTAGGAGTACAAAGTTTTCAAGCGGTGGAAATAACTCCACTTCTTCTCTTCCTGCCCGCCCCAGGCTTCCTTCTATCCTCCTCTAGACCCAGGAGTCTGCCTGGGCCCTCCCCTGCTCTTGCCTGCTCTCCCTTTCCTCCTCAGGAATGAGAGAACTCTTCTGAGACGACACGCAGCACCCCGGGCAGGATGTTCTTGAATCATTTCTTCCCAGTGATGAAAGGCCAGAGCCTTGCAGTCTGTTAAGTTTGACAGACAATCTGTCTTCATTTTTGAAATGTCCCCTAAAAAGAACAATCTGTTATACTCTGGCCCACACATTTGAATGGAAATGAAATTATGAAATCTGACCCAAACATCACAAAGGAAGGAGTAACCTTGGAGGGAAGGGATGCATGGGAAACTTTCTGCTGGCAGCTCAGCCCAGAAGTTGCCCTTTGTGCATTTTCATGGAAATGATGGATACCAGTGCCCTCCGTGTGCATGTGAGTCACACTGGAAAGACTCATCCAGGCCAGAAAGGAGACCGCTCACTGTCGACACGGAACATTACCCATCCGCTGGCTTTCAAACCTGCTGAAGCGAACATTTTGGGAAGGAAATAGAGCAGAGCTAAATTTCCCAGCCATGTGAAAACAGAGAGAGGGAAGCACATATCCTCCAAGGATCCCAACTTTGTCTGTGGTCTGGCTCTTATTGCATCCAGAAAGGCTGTCCCAAGTGCAGGGTGGTCCTCAGAACGAGCTCCCCTATCATCTCTCCCCTCCTCAGCAAATTCCAGAAAGTCTAGCCAGGTTTTATCCGGTGGGCAGACCTGACTTCAATCTAGACCTGAGATGTTCAAGGTCTCCCGGGGTGGGGATCAGGGTAGAGATTTCTGTCTTGTGATTTCAAGTGGGAAAGATCATAACAGAAATAACTAACATTTACAGTACATTTACTAAGCTTTGATTACTGAGTTAAGCTCTTCCTGTGTATTTTAAATATTTAATTTGCAGGAGGAAGGTCCTTTTATGGCCATTTTACGAATGTGGAAACTGAGACTGACTTCTCTTTGAAAAACCAACAAACAAGCTTGGCTGGTAAAACCTGGAGTAGGCATGACCCTTGGAGCTCATTCTTACTTGCTAAAGTCTGGTGCAATACGTTCCTTTTTGGAATGTGTCTTCTGTAGAAATGAGACACAAAAGCCCAAGACATCGGCTTCCAAGAGCACCCAGGGCCCATTCTGGAAGCTCATGTCAGGGCCTCCATGATGTTCAGACTCAGCAGAGGGGGCAGATTGGGCTTTGGTCCCGCCTCTCCTCCTTTCCATCCTAGCTTCTAAGAGTTGCCCCCCCCACCCTTCTCCCCTCCCCCCAGAGGCATTCCACCTCTGTCCTCCTCGTTGGGCTCCTTCTTGGGGCATGCCATGGCTTGGGCCGTCTCGGTCTCCAAGGGGATGGGTGATTTATGTCCTTTTATTCAACAAACAGCTTTGTATAGAAGGGATGTGACTTGCTGAATGCCACCAGGCGGGGGGGCAGGGAAGCTGTGCAGAATCCCAATGAAGCTCTCTGGGCCTGGGCAAAATGGCATGGGGAGACTCTGCTATTGTGTGTGTTTGCTCTGGTGGGAGGAAGGGCAAAGCAGCCAATCCTGAAAGGTTCCAGATAGGGGGATGGAGCAGCAAGGGAAGGCCCAAAGCCCCAGCGTCCTAGTTGTGCTGCCAGTGCCTGACTTTTCTCAATTTTCCATGCCCTCCTGGCACTCTGTAGGAGTAGGCCTCCTCGTCCCTGGACAAAAATTAGGAGGGGCTCCTTTCTGTGGGGCTGAGTGAGTTCAGAGGCGGAGTGTGCCAGGACCTTAGAACCCTTGGCTGCAGAATAAATTGAGGGGCATGGAGACATTCACTAGGACAACATCGGGGCTCCACTCTGCACACAACCCTTCCCAAACCCAGGAGGCCCTGTGGTCTACCTGCTTTCTATGTTCATCTTTCACCTCACCCCATGGATGTCTGGGTCTGTAAGTTCTCTGACACCATGAGCCACACCTATTCCTCCCCCGCCCCAGGATGCCCAGCACAGCCCTATCTTCAAAACACAGTAGGTACTCCATGTTTGTTGAATGAATAACAAATGTCATTTCATTCCCTATTAATCCTGACACCCATCATTGCCCGGGAGCCTGAGGGCTGCTCTGGGATACCTGACAGAATGACAAAGCATGACCCCAGTGTTTGGGGCAGATGATTCTCCATGGTGCCAACCAGTGTGTGACAGATGCACTAAGGAACAGGAAGAATGAGAGCTGCAGGACCAAGGTTTGGTCCCACTCTCTGCCTTCTCCCACTGGAAGAGCTTACCAAGGCATAATCTAGTCTCACCTACTCCAAGCCTGACTCCTTTCAGCAGCTGGCCCCGTCCCCAGCTTGGTCCCTCCCCAGAACAGGCTGCAGTGACTTGTCTGAGTCTGCAGCCCCAAGGCCCCCATGCTGGCTCCCTCAGCCTCCCCCACATTCAGTCACCAGGGAGGACGGCAATTAGTCTTCATTATGCTGCTCGGCCTAACCTGGCCTGGTGAAAAAACTCCTTGTTCCCCACTTTTCAGATCAATGTGGACCTGGCACACAGGATCCAGAGACTGGCTACACAGGGACTGGGGAGGGCAGAAGAAAACATTCAGAGCCTGTGAGAGGAGCAGGTCCACTCTTGCCCCCAGAGCAGAGAGACAGCAGGGTCCCCTGGAAACATGGGGCAGCTGGAAAGAGCAAAGTGAGGAGAATGGAAAGGGACAAAGGCATGTGAAAAGGCCACAACAATGGGGCAAATGGAGGGGCAAGAGGGAAACGAAGAAAATGCGATGTCTCTTTGGTATGTCCTGATGTGCGCTTTGTTCTGTATCATTTCCTTGGAACACCCCTGTGGGATACCCCACATGGCAGGGGTGGTGGTAAAGGGTAAGAGGAGCTGGAGGTAGAAGAAAGGAGGGCTGAAGGGAAATGCTGAGCATTTACCTATTCTCTTTCCTTTCCCAAACCTTGGTCTCATCTGCACTGAGAGCATCAGATCCTGGATTTCAGTTCTGGGAGTCAGAGGCAGGACCTTGGCTTTGCTGAACTAAGGGCCGTCCAGGGATTTCAAGGTCTCTCAGATAGCACTAAGCCCTTGTTTTCCTACCTGCACTCAAACACCCCAAGAGTGAAGTCAGGGTCTGTCTTCAGGATCTGTAAGTCCTCTGAGATTATAAGCCATGGCTGTTCCCACATAACATCAACATAGGGGATGCCCAGCCTAGTCCATTATCAGAAGGCAACTGGTCTACCCTTCAAAATCCAATACCCTGCCTTCCTGCTGCCATTCCACAGGTATGTAACACAGCCCTGGCTCAGGGACACTAACAACCAACAGGCAGGGTAACTCCCCAAGCTTCCCAACCCTGGGGCAGAAAGAGTCCCTGCCCCTCTCTCATCAGGCCCTTGATACTTCAGAAGCAAGTGCAAAAGGGGCAGATTCTACCAGGACCTCTGGAGAAACAATTCTGCTGACGGTACCCAAGGAAAAGAAGGGAGAGAAATGGGGAGGGTCCCTACAGAAGGAGGGTGACGGTCAATAAAGAAGTGAGCTTAGGGGGCATAGTGAAAGAGAGAAGGAACACAGGGCAGTAGCAGGGATCTCACCCTCCCTCCCCAGGAAGCAGGGGCTCCAAGGCTTTGATCCTCAGTCCCTAAGCAATGCCATCCCTGCCCTTTCACTCTGTAGATGGAGATACTAGCTAAGCACTGGGAAAGGCAGCTCTTCATGGTCCCCACCACATCCTTCTATTGGACTTTGAGATTATTTTCTTTGTTGCCATCCTGTGAGTTAATTTACCTCTATGAAATCAGTTCTTTCTTCCTTTCTTTCTTCCTAAAATCCTCAAGCCAGTCTCCTTTCTTTTGCCGCTTCATGTTTTGCCCCCGCTGATCTGAAAAATGTGCCTGAGCTTACGTGTCCTGGGGGCTGGACAGGTGGCAGTGAGAGTGTGGGCGGAGGGGGCTGTTCCCTAGCAGAGATGACCAGGCGCTGATACATCCCCCCGCCACACACACACTTTCTTCTTCTTCCTCCTCTTTTTCTTGCTCTGGAGGGTGGCAGGGTGGGTGGACTTTAAGCTACTTTGATGTGAAGTCTCCCTAGCGACTCTAATGGCTCCTGGCCCCAGCACACTCTGAATGACTCCCAGGTAGAGACAGAGGCTTGGTCCTGCGGGGAGTGATTGGCTAAAGATCACGTGACTCTACCTCCCTCGGCCAATCAAGAAGCTGCCGGGGCTGGAGTAAAGATTTCACCCGGGAAATCGCTGGAGATATCACCAGTCTGGGCGGAGGTGCCTGGAGAACCTGGGCGGGTGGGGTGTGAGAAGGATGGGGAGGAGGGGAGGCCGGGGCGCGGGACACTCACTCTAGTACGTCGCGGTTGAACTGTTTCTTGCTGTTGCCCAGGAACTCGCCGATCATCTGGCGGCTGAGGCCCTTACGCTGGAGCAGAAAATGGGCCACACCGATGGGGGTGTCGGGGATGAAACCGCGCGAGATCAGGAACTGGATGCCCTTGTCAGGGTTTCTGGAGGAGAGGTTGGAAGTGAGGAGTAGTAATAGAGAATGAGCCAAGGCTGTCTCTGACTTCCATCCTCTCTGTCTTCCTACCCGTGAAACCCATAAAAGGGCCCGGAGGTCCTTGGAAACCAACTTCCCAGGAGATGCCAGGATTCTTTATGCTGCAGAGGTATCTCTGCTGATGCATCCCTCACCTGACCCATCTCACACAGAGGTTGGGGGCGGCGCCGGAAGGAGGTTAATGTGGAGGTCTTGCATAGGCAAAGAGAAGTCCAGAGCAAGTGGAGGCATAGCACCCTTCTCTATCCCTGCCTTGCTCGCTCTGGATCTTACCCTGAGGTCTCCCAGGTCTATTGAGGAGGCCCTTCCTTCTTACCTGGATCCTGAGCTCAATCTCGGGTCCCCACCCTGGAGTCCAGAGAGGGAGGGGGAAAAGAGGTGAGATCTCCCACTACGCCCCCCTCCTTTCCTTTGCACGGTTGACAAGGCTACTGATCTCCAGTGTGAGTCTCTCTGTGTGGGTGTGTGCCCTGTCCTAAGGCAATTGCGCTCTCAGTGCAGTCTGCAAACCCATGCTGCTCTCTGGGCTGAATCTTACTGGTTCAGGAGAAGATAAGTACAGAGATTGAGGGTAAGCATTTGGAACCTTTTACAGCACTTTGACATTTTCGGGACAACCAAGCATGTGATTGTTTTTCTAGCAATTCATTTTTATTGTGTTTTACAAAAGCATCAGCCCACAACATATTAGGTGAGAAAAACCAAACTGGTCTTTCAGGAGGGATAGTTTGAGACTCTCCGCTTTGAGGGATAGGAGTATCTCAGTGTTTTTATGTATAGGCAGAACTGATGCTGCGGCTATGGGGGTAGGGTGGAGGCAGGGGTGAGGGCGAGGCTGTGCTCATCAGGTGAGGAGGAAAAGGAGAGATGGATTTGGAGTCCACTCTGGCTTCCCCTAGGTTTGCCTCGTACTAGAGTTGAACAGTGTGCAACCTGCCTCACTTTTGTGAGTCATTTTCTTTTCTATAAATGGCATAATACATATTACTAGATATTACTGGGAAGATAGCAGATGCTTTATGTCAGCTGAACTATGAACAGCAGTGAGTGTCTTGAGGCCAGGGGCTGGGTCTTACTCATCTTTGTAGTTGCAGTGCCTGGCACTCAATAAATAATAGTTGAAGGAATAAATGAACACACATGTAGGCAGGAGAGACATCAGGGCTATGAAGGAAGGGGTGAATGGATAGTGATGAGTATCTCATGGTTTATGAATTTCCATGAGAGGGGCATGTCTGCTTCCTCTGTTTAGCATTGTCTGTGCACATTCTGGTTGCAAGGAATAGTCAGGTTAGGATCTCTGAATTATGGCCATTCATTTCTCTCTTCCCATTCCCCTATTCTTTTTCTAGTCCATCTCTGCTTGCTTCATACTTTCTTCCTTGTCTCCCTCTCCTCCTTTAATTCCTTCCTTCTCTTGATCTCTACCTGTATTCTTTTCACACACTCTCTCTCCTTCACTCAGTCCCTCATTTCACCAATCCCAAGAAATAATGCTGTTTCCTCAATTTCTTTTTTCTTCTTTGGTAGTGGCGATTGAACCCAGGAGCAATTTACCACTGAGCTACATCTCAGTCATTTTAAAAATAATAATTATTATTCTTATTTATTTATTTATTCTTGAGTCAAGATCTTACTAAGTTGCTGAGGCTCACCTGGAACTTGCAATCCTCCTAGCTCCGCCTACCAAGTCTCTGGGATTAAAGACATGGGCCACTGTGCCTGGTTTGTTTCCCTAATTTCTTATTCTGAGTGCTTCCTGCTCAATCTTCATACAGCTTGTTCCATTATTTACTCAACACTGGATTTTCTTTTAAATTCTCTCACTTTTCAAACCCTCACTCCAACTTAAATAGTAGTAGTTGTAAAAAAACCTGTATTTTATGTTTTCCCCTCTAATTTTTCTTAAAATAAATTTATAATGAAAAATAAAACGTGTACTTCCTAAATATTATCTCAGTGATCAAGTGTGACACAAAAATACCTGGAAAGACCTTGGGATGATGTGGTAAACTACCTAGCACCCAGTTTGGTGGAGAGGGAGTCCCCTGTAAATTCAAATCCACCATTTTTCCGTCCCTCCCAGGCCCTCTCCAGGTCCCCAAGGTGCCCTAGGCCAGAGCTCACATGTTGAAGAGGTTGAGGCCAATGCGATAGAGGCGCTTGCGCAGCGTGTCGGTGGACAGCGTGGGTGACTTGCAGCTAGCAGGGTTCTCGCAGTGGTAGCGGGGCAGGCTCAGGATCATGGCCTGTAGGGCTTCCTTGGAGGCGGAAGCCGATACTTCCGAACCTGACTTGGCAGACTTGGTGGATGTGCTGCTACTGCTCAGCTGCTCCGAGTTGTCGCCAGCCTCAGTCTCTGTTCCTTTCCCTGCCTCCCCAGTCTCCTCTTCTTCCTCCTCCACCTCTGTGGCCACAGCCTCCTCCACCACGGACTCTGCAGCCACTGGCTGGGAGGCCCCAAGGGCCCCACTGACTGCCACCTCTGGGCACGCGTCTTGGGAGAAGGCGTCCCCCTGACCCACAGCTGGGGCCTCCGGGGCCTCCTGCCCTGGGGCTTCGCCCCGCTCGGTTTTGCCGGCTGCGGGTTCTGCTGTGGCCTGGGCAGGTTGGGCGCCCAGGCAGTTGGCCACAGACAGAGCGGTGGAGGAGGAGACCGAGATATTCTGGCTGGCGATCTGCACAGTGACGTCCCGGAAAGCCATCATGAGGGTGCCGCTGTGGCTCTGGGGCAGGCCGGTGGTGGCCTCGCTGGCCTCATCTCCAGGCCCTGCGCCTGCGCTTTCAGGATCCCGCATCTCAGTCTCCAGACAGGGCTGCCCGGTGCCTGCGTGCAGGGCTTGGTGGATCTGGTAAGCGCTGCTCTCCTGCAGGGAGCACATGGTCTTGAGGCTCCAGGTGTTCAGGGCGTCGTCGATGGACTTGGCCAGAGACTGCACCTGCTCAGTGAAGGAGTCCTCCAACTCGGTGAGCGTGCCGGCGAAGGTGGGCGGCAGGGAGGGTGAGCGCACTAGCGGCAGCCCCATGAGGCTGTAGCCCTCCATCAGGGCTTTCTCAGCAGCCAGGCTCTCTGCTGTGGGAGCCCGCACCTTGCGCAGGGAGATCCGCCGCGGAAGGCGGCTCTCCAAGAGCGAGTTGCGGATCTTTTCGAAGTTCTTGCTGAGCTGGTACTGGCGGAATGCGGTTTGGATGGTGCAAGCAGCTCTCCGGGACACCAGATGGCCCCCGTACTTGTGTTCTAGCATTTCAATCTGCAACAAGGACAGCGGAAAGGGATCCATTAGGAAGGGATGTCACTGCCTGGAGGGTAGTGGCGGATATCAGTTCAGTGGGTCACCTGGTCCAGCTTTGGTGGGGCCAAGAAATGCATTGCAGGGGACTACGAGGGGGCTCATGTCTGAACATTCCTACTGTGTCATGGCCTTGGATACCAGGCCCTTGGTAAGACTTTTAGCCGTGCAGGATATAGGATATGGGGGATTGGTGAATGTCCCAAGGGGCAGAGGAATAAGGTGTTGCTGATTGTATCCAACCATAGCTACTGTGGTGGTTATCAAAAATGTTCCATCAGAGATGAGTATTGAAGGACTGATAGGTGAAACGCATGATATCTTAAATTTGCATTAAAATATTCTGTAATAAAAAGAAGGGTTAAGCAACACAATATTAATAAAAATATTAATAAAATCATTGGAGCTCAGTTATGGCCATATGTGAGTTTATTGTGCTATTGTTTCTACTTTGGTGCACACTTAAAAACATTAAACCATTAAAAATTAAACAGAAATGCTAAGGAAAAAAAATACAAAAAACAACTGCTGCTACTCCCTCCCTGCCTCCTCAGCATTCATGTCACTGCATTGGGGTCCTTCCCTTTCCCTGCAAACATCATAAGGATTGAGACCAGGGTTTGACTGCATTACCATTACCCAGCCCAGGGTCTGGCATATGATAGGTGCTCAATAAATATGAAACTAATAAAAAGATGGAGGTGTATCAGGAGTGTGGGTCTCAGGTCACAGTGTCCTGCAGTTCTACAATTCAAGACACTTTCATTCACAGTGGGAGCTGTCCAGCCAGGACAGTGTTCGGTGGGACTGGCTAGTGTTGCCTCACCTGAGCAGATTTGGCCCCAGGAAAATTTTTGGCACAGACTAGTTTGTGTTCAGGGGCCTTGCTCACCTTATCTCAGCTCTGGCCACCTGCCTATGGTCTTCTCTGTGCTTAGGTTGCTATGTTCTCACTTTATCCTTTATCAAAAACTCTCAGAAAAGGACTAGAAAGAGTATTCTCCTGAGGTGTGAATGACCATTAACATTACCATACCTCCTGGAGGGTTTGCATTTTAAATAAGGAGGGAGGTTTAAGGGGAGAGGCCTAATTGGTGGTATTGCAGACTCTGGTTCTCAGAGAAGTTTAGGAA